CAGGGGTTTACGAGGGATTGCAGGCGTCACTCTTAAGATTTCTTTCGGGCCTGCGTTACATGCAACGCATCCCCCCCCACCCACCCCCCGAAAAGGGAGCATGTAATTTAGGCCCTAGATCCTAAACCCTAAGCCCAAAACCCTAAACCCTGAACCATAAACCCTCAACCGTAAACCCTTAACCCCAAACCCCTGAAACCCTAAACCCTAGACCCTAAAGAGGTCTCGGAGCAGGGGCTTCTTGTCAAGCTTCTGCGGATGGGGGTAGCCTAAGCCTGGGTTGCTGTTAAGGAATTTAGACTAAGTTACCATAATGGGAATATTTAGTAAGTAATAGGGTTTCCCCAAACCCTAAACCCTAAAGGGTTTCCCCAATATAGTAACTCAAATTAAGTTCCTTAACAGCAACCCAGAAGCGGGAAGTCCTGTGTCATGTCAGAGAGCCCGCTCTGACGCCCTAAGCCTTGAAACCCGGATCCGAAGCCCTGAGCGGTTTAGGGTTTAGGGGTTTAGGGTTTAGGAGTTTAGGGGTTTAGGGGTTTAGGGTTTAGGGGTTTAGGGTTTAAGGTTTAGGGTTGAGGGTTTAGTCCTGTCCCCTGATTCTTCCTCCTACACCCCAGCAAGGCCGAAAGTCCAAGTCTAGGGGCGAGGGTCCAGGAGGTCGGCTTCAAGTGTGCGGTTTAGGGTTTGGGGGTTTAGGGTTTAGGGCTTCGGGTTTAGGGTAAGTGCGCAATCCCTGAAATCTCTGTGAGCGAACCTGGAAAGGAGCTGAAGAAGGAGGTCAATGATATGGTAAGTGGAACAGCGAAGGTGAAGCAAGAAATCATGAAGGAGGAGGTGCCCACGTTCCCCCTGTTACCCTATAGAATCCCCCATATTCCCCCTATATAATATAGTAGCTTCCACTTTCTTGTCCATCATTACCAATATAACACCAGTATAACCCCTAGATAATCCCAGTTTCCATTTCATTTTCCATTTTCTTTTCCATTTGATTGCCCATTTTTCGGGGGTATATACCCATGATATTACCCCAATTCCACATGAATCACACCTTTTCCACCCATGGGTAGCACTCAATAGGCCCCAATGACATTTTCAAGTTTCACAAAGTGAGGTACCTTATTTGAGGATGTGGGCGTGTGTTCTAGTGGTGGCGAAGGGGTTGCATTGTTGTAATAGGGATGCTTGCAATACCAATGCAGATGTGGTGGTGTTTTTTTCAGGGTCCACTTCTTCCGCAATGAAGCTGCGAGTGCACTCCTCCTTTTGTACCATTAGGATAGAGGGAAGCCCTGGCCAATGAGGTCAAGAAGGAAAGGGATGCAGAAGTCAAGCACGAGATCTGCAATGAGGCCACCAGGCAGGCAGTCAAGGAAGAACATGCATCCAATGCAGACGGCCAGCACGCAACGAGGGCAGTAAAGCCAGATGTGCCTCCTTTGACAAAACACGTGAAGCAAGAGATGAGAGGGGAGGCCAACAGGAAGGCACAGGGCAGCATCAAAGACAAAGTGCAGAAGCACCAGCCGAATGAAGTGAAGCGCGAGGTCAAGTCAGAAGTACCTGAGCGGGTGAAGCAGCACGCCAAAAAAGAGGTCAAGGAGGAGGAGCCAAGAAAGGTGAAACAGGAGATCAAAAAGGAAGTAAAGCTGGAGGTGAAGACGGAGGCAAGACCGCCATGTCACGTGCTAGGTCGTATTTCTGATGATGTGAGTCATGGATTGCTAGGTTGGAGGATACCCAAGTTGGAGGGCACGACTTAGACCTCGAACCCTCAACCCCCCCAAAACGTACGTTTGTGCAAGCGAGCTTGGGCAAGATACACAGCCTGGTTACTGGATAATGAGTGACAGCACTCAAGATGTATTGCTTCTGAACGTCCACCTTACGTCCCGTGTTGTGGTTAGCCTTGGTAAAGAAGCATTCAAGCTCGCAAAGATGCTTCAAACTCTAAACCTCAAACCCTTCGGCGACCTCTTACCACTTGAAAGGGGCCGGGGATTGTCAGTGGGCTATCGTGACTGGTACAGCCGTGACAGCTTGTGATGTGTTTGTTGCCCAGAAACCAGGCTGTGTCGCTTAATCATGAGTAGGCGTGCTTAGCAGCCAATATGAATGGATAGCAGTAATAATAACAATAAAATAGCGAGACGATAGCATTAATACACAAATAACCTACACGATTAAGCATACCGAGCAATACATCATAACTCTAAACCTTACTTTGAGATATGCCAAACTCTCTTCAAGTGGGGTCTGGGGCTGGTGTGGGATTTAATGTTTGGGGTTTAGGGTTTGGGGTTTAGGGTTTGGGGTCTAAGGTTTTATGTTGGGGGTTTGGGGTTAGGCTTTAGGGTTTAAGCTTTTTGGGCTTGGGGTACCCAACATCCTCGAAAACTAAAGCTCTATAGAACTTTCTTTATCAACAAGTAGGCAGTTGCGGCGTTTTCTGGGCTAACCTGTTGTCGAGATAGGCCGATTAGAAAGCAACTCGTAGAAATCCTAAACCTTAATCCTAAACCCTAAAATCCTTCACTCTAAACCCTACTCCCTAAACCCTAATCCCTAAACCCTAAAGCCTAATCCCTACACCCTCAGCCCTATACACAAGCCCACAAGCTTGGCATCCTGGAGCCTTGCAGGAGTCCTCGCACGCCTCCAGCGCTACAACAACGCAGTCGCGTCCCAGAAAAAAAGATTTTTGGGGGACTTCTGAAAAGGATTTAGGGTTTAGGGTTTGGGTTTGGGGTTTAGGGTTGGGCTGAGGGTTTAGCATGGGGCCCTGCGGGTGAATTGTGATTACTTTGGGGGGGTCTCTGTTAAGGATGATATAGGCTGTGCTTGAGAAGCTCCCATGTATTGCCTGATTTGTCACTACAAGTATCATTTGTATATACCCTCACTTCATTAAACTCGATGCGGGGATTTCTCAAGAATCATCCCTACAAATCCCAAGTAGGACCGCATCATCCCTGATGAGCTCCATATAACGTTAAGGTTCCTAAGGGAACCCTAAATCCCCCTCGTTTTGGGAGACTCCCGTGACAGAGACTTATTTGTCCAGCAGGGTGCTGCGATAATTGTCACAGCAATTTGACCCTAAAAACTTAAACTGTAAACCCTAAACCCTAGCCCGCAATGCCTTGCAGTAGTCGCCCCGAAGTTTCGAAGCCCTTCCCCCTTAAGCTCACAACCCCTCCACCTCGTAGGCTTGACGATATCCACTAAAAAGCTAGAAGCGCTGAACCCTCAGGTCCAGTCATCCTGTTTTCCTGGCAGCCACCAGGCCCCAGTTGACCTGAACTTGAAGCAACTTACTCCCTCAAACCCTAACCCTCCCCAAATCCTGCACGGGTTACGCCTCCACCCAGTAGTAGTGGTGTTATAGGAATACATAGAGAACCCTAATATAATTAACGTTACACCTTGTGGTCACTATTAGCGTTGGGGCGGCCAACCTAACCAACACTCTAAACCTAAAGGTTTAGGGGTTTAGGGTTCAGGGGTTTAGGTTTTAGGGTTTGGGGTTTCAATCAAATCCTTTTTGTAAGCCGAGGTTCTGCAGCAACTCCTTGGTGCTTAGTTGGGAGAGAAGGAATGGACCCCTATAGTAATCCTCATATAACTCTTGTAAAATTGGGGGGGTTAGGGTTGAGGGTTTGGGATGAAGTCTAGTCCCGCAATGCATTCTGCCATTCCCTAGCAAGCAGGAGGAGGATGACACTGTTGTTGTTGAAATTTACTGTTGATGCAAAAGACCTGGGCTTTCCCGTGTTGCATGCTGGCGTGCTTGTTGCCCAGGGCTACGAGGTCTTTAGCCTGCATCATGGATCCCTACATATGTAGCAAGTTAGGGAGAATTCGCATCTGAAGCTTGTGGCCTAGAGTTCCCAATCGTTCTTCAGCCAACATGAACTAAACCTTGTTGATGAATAAGGACTGGAGTAAAGCGAGAGAACCCCGGAGGTGCGGCCATCCGTGTGAAGCAAGAAGACTCCGAAGGCAGGTTCTATTGCAATCTGTGCCAATCTAGAAGAGAAGCAGATGCGGGTGCGTTTTTGATTTTGTGCCAGTTCAGCTGAGGCCAGGGTCTGACGAAACGACGACGCATGAGCCAGAAGGGGCCGGACTTGTCACTTCCGTCCTTTGAGTCGCAGCTGCCAGTGTGGGCGGAGAAATGCCTAGCATTTCAGATCTCTGGCAAAACGTGGCTCCCAACCAAGCCCTGCTGCCCGGCAAGCTTGTTTGTCGGTCTCGGGAGGGCTCCGTGGCCAGAGAGCGAGGAAGTGCACCCAAAGCCGTGCGCTCAGCGTCTAGGCAAGGCTCAGCTCCGTGAGTTCCGTGCCTTCTTCCGCGAGCAGCCGCACCATGCGCTCTTCAAGAGCACTACCAGTCCACAAGAGAAGGCCTCTAGGCCCAAACCTCTGAGCTCAAAGCCGCCTCTCGGAAGGCCGGCTGGTGGCTCGAGATGGGAGTGTTACAAGATGTGGCCCTGGATGCGTGACCTTCCCACAAGGCTGTGGATGGGCAATGGCTGGATCATGGAAGAGGACGGCATGCGCAAGCTGGAGCCCTCCGAGCCCGGGGGCGCCATGCCAGGCGTCCAGATCTTCGAGTCCGTAGGCACCGCCGTGGACGAGTCCCAGCAGGACGGCTCTGAGGTGCTTGCAGCTGAGCCAGGCCAGGCCACCTCCAAGTTCCGGGGCCTGGAGCGCCAGAGCGGGGTTAGCCATATCAGCTGGGATCCGCCGCATCTTCGTTGGCGCATCCAGTGGTGGGAAGCCAGGAAGCGTAAGCAAGCCTTCTTTCCCATCAAGCTGTTCCACGAGCAAGGCCTTAGCGAGAACGAGGCCGTGGAGGCCGCGCTGCGCGAAGCCAAAGCCCACCGCGAGGAGCTGGTGCGGAAGGGCGTCCTCAAGCCACCGAAGGCCGTGAAGCCAGAGCAAGGCAAGCACTCCACCGTGAAGGGAGTCTACTATTACAAGCCGAACCAGCAGTGGCGCGCGAAGTTGGTAGATCCATCCACCAAGAAGGTGGTCCATGGCGGTCGGTTTGCCAACCAGGAGGAGGCCGAGTCCAAGGCCCGGGAGCTCGCCAAGGAGCTGGGCATCAAGGACATCGAGAACAGGGTGGTCCCGGTGAAGCATCTCTCGGAGCTGAAGCACTTCGAGCCGCTGGGCCCCCAGCCGGGGGTGAGGTGGAGCCTCGGCGAGCAGTGCTGGCATGCCTGCTGTGCAGTCAAAGGCAGGACCAGGCACTTGCGGTGCAGGCCCAAGGACTTCTCGGAGAAGGAGGTGGAGAAGGCCTGGAAGCAGGCAGTGGCCTGGCGCAAGCAGCAAGAGAAGGAGCGGGATCAGGCTAAGAAGCGCTGACGAGGATCTGGAGAATGCTTTCAACACCTGACGTAGGCTAGCCAAAGATCCGTCATATCTTTGCAGCACAGTAGGGCGCCGAAAGGTGCTGTCATCAGAAGACGCAAAGCCAGTTGATCTCACTCTCAGACAGTAACGCCTCAAAATGGGGCCTGAGTCTTAAACTTTAAACCTAAAAAACACAGTTCTCATGTTCTCAAAGGCCGACCCCATTTTTGAGACGACCCCACTCTCTCTCCAAGAAAAGGTCGGATTGTCGCTTGGTTGCATCGGGTCATGGATACTTTAATTCCCGCATATGTAAATAAACTGGCGTCGGACAATGGCTGCAACACAGGCACGTTATAGTGTAGGGTGGTACATGTAAGTCCCTAAGCCCTAGAAACCCGAAACCCTGTTGTAGGGTGGTACATTTTAGGCTTCTACGTCGCGGCGAGATCAGTTACTGGCTTCCTGTCAACCCTCTAGACCTCAATCCGAAAGTCAACACCTCAAAAGCCCTGAGCCTGACCTCGAATCCCTAACTCCCTAAACCCTAAACCTAGCAAGCTACCTTGAGCCCGAAGCACCTGCGCCCTCTGTGCGATGGCCAGGTTTAAGAGTTTCGGATTTAGGCCTAAACCCTCCTATATCCAAAGCCCTAGAACCCTAATCCCTAAACATCCCTATGCCCTAAACCCGTTAAACCCTAAAGGATCTAGAGTACAGGATCCAGGACCCTAAACCTAAACCCCTAAACCCTAACCCCCCAGCCCCCACCCCCCCCTAGAGTACAGGATCCACGCCCGAGGCATCGGGATGATAGACCCAGGAATCATCAGCAAGTGGGGTTTAGGACAAGGACTAGGTGCTTGGCCTTGTTCATTTATGGGAACCTTGAAATTGAGGAGTCAAGGGTTTAAGGTTTAGGCTTTAGGGTTCAGGGTTTAGGGTTAAGGGTCTAAGATTATCGGTTCAGGGTGTGATTTGAGTACTCGGACTTGGACCCTTAGGCTGCAGCATGTCCTTAACCTGGACTGGGCGTGGGCGCGGATCATGATTTCCAACATGAATGGAGTGCCTTTTTGTGGGTCATGGGTGGGCAAGGTTTAGGGTTTAGG